GAAATATATATATATATATATATATATATTACTATATTTGTAAGTACTTACAAGTTTATGTGCAAAAGTCAAAATATAATAGAGATCTCTTCTACCTGAAAAGGCTTAATCTATTTTTGAAAAAGTGAGTTACATATACAGTAGCATAAATATGCCCCTGCAATGGCGTGGGGGGGTGGCAAATTGTAATTACAATTATAAGGAAATAACTGTAGGGGCCCAATTACTTTCTTTGCAGGGGGCCCATCTTTTGTAGTTATACCACTAGATATACATATTTGATAATTAAGCATACCCAAAATACTGTTGATTAAGGTCATTAGTTTTAAATTCTCTAACTGCCTTCCAACCACGACTTACTTATTTAAGTCTTTTTTTTTAAGGAAGTTATATAAATTTTGTCAATTTTAAGTTCTTTGTGACAAAACTAAAGTAAGCAGTCAGTTGAGTGGATTCACATTCTCAAGGCCTGTGCTCTTCCAGTGAAACAATGAGCTGTGTGTGACAGTATATACGATGAACTGATACTATGGGTCAAAACTTTGTAACCATTAAAATCAGAACTTCTTACTTAAAAGTTACTATTATTGTATTTTTGAATTAATTTATAAAATAACCCCTCCTTTCTTGCCTAATTTTCTAACAACGTGAAAAACAGCATTTACATTTACATCCATTCTAATCACTTATATTTCCATACTCTGTCAACTACTTTGAATTTGATATCAATATCCAATCCTGTTGCACAATGAATATTTTATTAATCTAGACAGGATGTTGATAAGAACCAATGAGAGACCAGATTACGTATCTGTAATCAATACATTCGAATTTCCAGGTCAACTAGAAAAATGTCATAACACATACTATAGTCAAATTCACCATCCCCAATGAAATTTCTCCAATATATATTTATACAAGGAAAAATAGTACTCTCTTTCCTTTACAGTTTACCAAAATTTATCCAAAGTACAACTAAGTTTTATTTTTCTAACACTAGTATTAAATAACACTAACACCACTAACAGTAACACCGACAGTAACCGGGTGATTGCCTTATGCCGTCGGCAGTAGAGAAGAACAGAACTTTACACGAGTTTCAAGTTGAGAATTTATGATTAACTGAAAAATCAAAGACGGGAATAACTTTTTACTTTTCTAAACACGGACTGTCTTGAAGTCGAATTAAGTTGAACTTCAACTTTCAAGTGAAGGCCTAGATCACGGATATCAATAGATCGTTGAACGATCCTTTGTTAGTTTGTAATTTTGTTGCCCGTATAATTACTTTAAAGTTTAATTTGTAATTATTCGTATACATAATATAATAAGAAATGTTTTTTATCCAATTACTACTAGATCATCCACTTAAATAAACTTAACCTTTTCTTCCAAATACTATTCTTCAAACTTTCCAAACATTACTTACCACGTATGAAAAAAAGGCACAGGTTATTTCATCGTCACATTCCAAAGTTTCTAGTTGTAGTAGTACTAAATTACTAACATCACCGAAACATTTGTAACGGTTAGTGCACATGCGTGAAATATCACGTGATAGAAATTAATTTCTCAACTTTCAAAACAGAACTGCTGTTGCTGGTGGCGTAGTCACATGCACACTTTTTTCTTTTTTGTGCGCTGTTGGAGTGTAAACATTTTTGAAAATAAAAGAGAAAAGACCATTTTCGTAGAAAAACTTTTATTACTTCTTCCTTTCGACTTGCGGCTTATTAGAGAGGTAAACACTACTAATTTAAGTGGCAGGTTCGAAACAATTATCAGAACGGTAGGGTGTTAGTTCCTGTTCAGCAAAACGATGAAGTAATTAAAAAAAAGGCCTTTATTACTTAAAAAACTGTTTTTCTCATTTATATTTGATAGTTCTTTATATGCTTTTTTGTAATTATCACAATAAACTCATTACAAAGTACAATATCTATTAATTCACATGTAATTATACGTGTAAGCCTTTAACTTAAGTTTAAGTTAAACTTAAAGCATGAACAATGACTAGTTAAGAAAATTCGTATTGTTTGCTCTCACAGTTTAGCTTCATCATCGTAAAACTTGTACCATGTTCAAGTCATTAATTTAAATACGACAGCATATTTTGAAAATACCAAAAACAGTGCTTCGAACTCTAGGTTATTCAATGATTATTACTATTAGTCTTCCATACTGATGGTCGTCGCCAAATCCAGAAATTTCTTGGGAGAGGGGGGGGGGTTATGAGGAGAACTCAACGATGATCAAATTATGTTAAAATAGATATTCCTGCAACTTTTCAAAATAAACTTGATTCTGTATATACTCATTAGTTGATTTAAGTGTATGTATACATCACAACTATACTTATGTAAATTCCTTTTCATAAACTATTTTGCACCTTATTATATAATGTAATGTAGATATTTGAATCCTTCAGGTTAAGCACCGTATTGTACTGTATAGAACTGACTAGAAGCATTAGGTGTAAATAAACGGTTACATCCTGCTGAAATACTTATAGTTTCTCCTGCGTATAAATGATAACATAAAGATTTACCCTAGCCAGAACGTGAATTTAGAGTATGTCATTTGTCTGGTCAGTACGGCATAGAATGGCCATCAAGCCGCTAGACTTCAATAGGATTGAATTCATTATGACAGGGATATTGGTTTTGCTGTTAACCTGTAGGTAGATATTACGATTCGTGGAATTAATATGTATTTGGTTATCCAAAAGAGGTTTTGTTCACACAAACACCCCAACTTTTTGAGATGCCCCTGTTTCTAAATTGTTGTAGTGTAATACCTCCATGTTATGATATTGTTACGTCTCCGTTTGTTAATTAACTTTCCGTAACTTCGTTCCGACGAAACATTAGCGACACAAGTCCTTACTCAATAAAACTGTTTTACTCTTTCTGAATATAACTTCACGATACACTTGATTTCAACA